AATGAATATATCTTAACCTTCGCACGACTAACCAGCATTATGGCTCTTTACGCTCCTATTGATTTTAATTGATTTTAATAATCTGCTGAGCCTTATATATTATTTAATTTTAATAATAAGCTTTTCATTAAGAAGATTTAAAACATATATTAATATCTTTTTTTGCTACATCTATACGAAAACATTAGAATATAGAATCATTCAATGACAATCATCTTTCTAAGACTTAAAGTTATTCTAAATACGTCTATGCTTTTTTACAATCAATTTTCTGAGTGTTTGAATTTTAGATTTGATTGCTAGGATAATTTTAAAGATTAATCAGAATTCGTATTGGGTTTTTATTTTTTAGGAGCTGATACTTTTTGAATAATTTTGTGTTAATACTTTCGTCTCAATCGAATATTACGCTTCTGACACGCTTTTTATTCTTTTGCATTGAAATATGCGAGAAATCACAGACACGTTCCATTTTTGTATTTTAAATCTTATTCGCCGATAATCAGCGAATAAGATTTTAACACGCCATTAGAATATCTATTTCACAGCGTCACCCTTGCACTGTGGTGCTCTCCCTGCCATTGGTCGCAGAGCAGCTTGGTTTTAGAGGAACGCAGTAGAATCTAAAATCATGAGCGCTTGACGGATTCGGAATCCGAACTTCGGATCAGTCCGGGGCCGACCGCCGTTCTGTTGAGTTTGTAGTCCTTCAGCAGGTAGGAAATACACAAGATTTTTCGTTCTACTACGCATGCTCTCCTCGTGGAACTCGTCGTGCCAAAGTCATTGTTCTGTTGGCACTACCGTAGCAGCGGTGCGATTGATAATCAAGGGTGGCATTTATACGTATAGGTGAAAAAAGTGCGCGCACGTTGTGCGCTATCGTTATTCACGTACAAGTTGCCACATGACAGTCACATGAACATATATATAGAAAGAGAGAAAACAGAAAAGAGAAACGTATTTCGCATATATACACTTCGTAGAGCTTGGCGAGAAAACGAGAATAATAAATACTGGAAAGACAATAATAATAACAATCACGATCACGATATGAGCTGTCATTTGCGAATGAGTGACTGCATGAAGAAGCTTGAAATTGCCTGACGTTTGTGGTATTTTTTTACGAACGTGTTATTAAATCCACACATCGCTAGACTGTCATCACAAAAACAATTCAAGTAAGTCGAATGTTTCTTCTTTCGTCTTAATAATATACCACATTCTACAATAATTTATCATGATATATGACACATGGTGTCAATGACCTCGTTGAAGGTCAAACGTGCTTCCATGCACATATGCTTTTATTGCATTTCTTCTTTATAGTTAATTTTATTTATTTTTATGGTTAGACTGAGAGATTCTCGTTTTTCACGACATTGATCGAATAAATGTGGAAGTCGGGCAGAATCGTGTGACTCACTCTTCGCAAGAAATGCAAATGTTCTACTGTTTTCCCTTGCGCGATCCTACGCCATAGTTATTGATCGTTTCATTTTCTTTCATTATCTCAATCTTTCATTGAGAGGAGAGTAGAAAAATATAATTATTCACGGGTAATGTAAAAATGTTTACAATTGCAAGAAACTACGGTAATTTGACACACATTTAGCTTATTTAAAATGATATATTTGTATTCGTTTAACATAAAAAATATAATTATGAGAAAAAATTGTATAATTATTTAAATTGAATAATTTTAATGGAAGGCCTTCTTGCTGTAATGTTATGTAAATATTTTTCAATAAATCGATTCTCTTATCGTGTTTTGATTATTATACTTATTGTACTTGTTGCTTTCTTCTATTTTGTGTTTGTATACGTGAGTGTAATATACTTACTATCATCGTTCACTTCAGAAATTTAGGATTTAGAGCTACATAATTTTCCCGACAATTTTAAAGCGTTCTGCGCAGCACATGTACGCGCTTGTCGCTTGTGTAACGCTCAAAAACCGGAAGTCTGGTAGCAAATATCACATCATTGCGAGACTTAAAATATAATTTTAAAGCGTTCACGGGTAATATGTAAAAATATTTACAATTGCAGCTAAGGACAATAAATTGACATTTAGCTTATTTAAAATGTGATATTATTTAGATTTTTAATAAAGGCAAATTGAGAACGCGGTATGCGAAAAAAAAACAACGTGTTTGTTGAAGACATCTATTCATGTGTCATTGTTTACACATGAGATGCATTATTTAAAATTCGATTGTTTTACATGTTGCATTTAGGAGAGTGAAAAAAATAAAAGAATATTTAAGGAATCAAACTCTAAAAATATTTACATAATATTAATCTCTAGGTTTTTTATCAATATGGAAAATTAGACACGTTTTAGGAAAGTCAACAAGCAAAAAAGACTTCCTTATATAAATGTATAAATAATATAAATATTAATATGAGGATATATAAAAAAAAAAAATTGTATCGTTATAACTACTAAAAAATATTTATTTCTTAATTCTGAATTAATTCGCGTTTTCATATCAATGATAATTGTTTTTGTTCGAAAAACTGCCGATAATTATCGATATTAAAATAGCATTCTTGCTAAATTACCTTTTAATGGTTAAGATAAGCTATATACTACTTTTAGACGTGCATTCGATACAAATGGCAAGCTAATGCATCCGTAATCATGTAAATAACCTTTGGTCCTTTCTTTATCGCTAACCAAACTTGCGATTATCAAACTTCCGAGAAAAAAATTATCTTTTAGATATTTTCGAATTTTTTTTTACCCGAAATGAGTCACGCTAGGCATTTTCTTCATTTTGAGAGCTGCCAGTAGTGAAATAGAATCCTCACAGTGAACATTACTATTAGTATCGTGCTGTTTTTGTTCTACAATAGTGCTTTTCTATATTGCAGACCACTCATCCGATCATCACTTCAACCATCACTTCGATCATGACCACTTCGTCTCAACAATACTGCCTCCGTTGGAATAATCATCGCACAAACCTGCTAACTGTTTTTGGGCAGTTATATAAAAACAGCGCCTTCACCGATGTCACTATTGCAATTGATTGCGGTCAAACTATCAAGTGTCACAAAATTGTCCTGGCTGCGTGCTCGTCCTATTTTCAGACTCTATTCATGGATCTACCGGATCGCAATGGCATACATCCGATCGTCGTGCTCAAGGACGTGCAGTTCTCGGAAATCAAAGCGATATTGGAGTATATGTATCACGGTGAGGTGAACGTGGCGCAAGACGAACTGACAGGTCTGCTAAAGATCGCAGAGATGCTGAAAGTCAAGGGGTTGGTGGAGGAGAATGCCGGTAGTAGAGGAGAGGACCATTCGGCACATGATTATCGCCGTGAAGACACCCCAATGGAGACATTGAGGGAGAGATCGCCGCCGCCAACGATCAGCACGAGCGGCGGCAACGTGCATAGCAGCAGCCACGTCCCGTCACCGCCGCACTCTTCAACCGGCAGTTACGGTATGTACAATTCTACGGTCGAAAATCACCTCACCTCGTCGATGTGGTCATCGATGCCGCAGACGCTGCCGCAGTCGCTGGCGCTGTCGTTGTCGGGTCATCAACCGTCAACGCACTCTACCTCTTCGATCCTCGGCGGCTCTTACGACAGCTACGAGACGTCGCCGCATAAGCGCAAGAAAAAAATGATGCAACCGGGTTTGCTGGTTCACGACAAGGAGTCGATTCAGGGGTCAATACTGAGAAAAGTACTCAACGTAAGTCATGCTGACAGCTCGCAGAGCATGCCACTGCTGCAATCCGACAGTCACGAATCGATCTACTACCATAGCGGTTGCAGTAATAGTGAACGCCCTACGAACGGCAATCGCCGCACTAGCATCGACCCCATTGCCCAGGGAGAGATTATCCACAGCCCCGGCTCAGATGAAGATGAGAAACAACTGTCGCCACAGTCTGTCGGGAAGACCAATTCGGGTAATGTTTGCATTTCTTTTGAAATTGTACGAAGAGACATATGTAAAAAAGTGAATTTTCAAATGATAACATTAGATTATTGTGCGCTCTTATAATTTATGATAACGGGATTCTATTATAAACACTTTCTTGATATCTGGAAGGCGATATAAAAGTTTTGAGCAACAATTCGAATTTCCAATTCGTTTATTTTGAACTATTAATGGTATTTAATTTTTCCGATTTATTTACTTCAGGTATCGCAAATCAGTCATTAAACCAATCGAAGCCCGAATGGAAGCGATACAAGCAATACACGCGGGATGACATCATGTCGGCGATCAGCGCAGTGCAGAACGGCATGAGCGCTGTGCAAGCGGCACGTAAATACAACGTTCCATCCCGTACGTTGTACGACAAGGTGAAGAAGCTTGGCATTCAGACATCGCGGCCGCCCAAGCGCATGCTGGGAAGCAACGGTGCCAACGCGACCTGGTATGGAGTTGCCGGTAATGCAAACGGTGGCGTTTACAACAGTGCCCAGCCTAAGGATGCAAACGTGAACGTCAATGTCGCGGAAAGCAGTGTCAGCAAGGGCGCTGCCACGACCGGCTCACTTGAGGTAACTTACTCTAACATCGCGGCGGACATACCGCAGGATCGTGATTCAATGTCGGATACGACATGCTCCGCTCAGAGTCCGCTCATACGTCTCCCTAAACAAGAACTACAAAGCGTGGACGACGAAGTGGAGGATTTGTCGGTAAGCCGTAAATCTGATCTTCCGATGATAGTACAATCTCTTGCTGCCGCATCGGAAGAAGCCAAGAACGAAAAAGTAGATTCCGAACCGGACAAAGATTACCAGTACGATTAGTTCCTTTTTCCTGTAACCTGCGTCTTTAATACTCTATGTGAAATTGAAAGGAGATCACAAATTTGATCAAAAAGAAATGAAAAACGACTTTATGATGATGAAATGGTGATGCAAAATATGGTGATGGACTTTCATGAAATTTGGAAAGGTAGTCCGGGGTAAAAAAAGAAAAATGACCATTTATATATATTTGGCGATTTGGCTCAGGTGCTATGGTTCCCGAGTTCTGGAACAGGGTTCCATGGCAATACATTTTATATATATATATATATATATATATATATGTGTGTATGTGTGCGTATGATGAATATTATTATGCATATATACATATGCATGTATATGTATAATATCCATAATAATGATATTATGAATTAATATATACATAATATGTATATATATGTATATATATAATACATATTAATATATTTTATATATATGTGCCAATATATATCGTCTAATGGTCTACTTTCTTCTTCGTCCGTAGTACTTGTTTCTTCTTGTCTAAATTTTAATTTAAAGTTAAAAGTTCGGTTTTTGGGTTTTTTAATTAATTTTTTTTTTTTTTTTTTTATTATTATTATTATTATTATTGTCGTCAAAGTAAGCTTTTTACGTTGAACATTACGCGACTATAATAACAAGCAAGTCGTACTTTTCCTTTGAGAACTGACTGTAAGAAGATATTTTTTTTAGATAAGAGAGACTTAGAGACTGTCAAACATTTCATTTTTATCTTATCGCATAGATGCGGAGGCAAATTTGCCGATGCATGTCAGTAACGACGCATTTATCTTCTCGAAAGCGAAATGTACATCCGTCACTACCTCCCGATTATCTACCTATCTACCTAGCTACCTTACGCAAGACTGAATATACATTGTACATGTGACAGACTGCCTTCTTAGCATTAACAAAAGATCAGCATTAACGTAAGCAAAGCGAATTAACAAATTTATTAAATGCTAATGCTGATATACATAAGAAATAATGATAAGTGAATTTATCTCACGGGACAAAAACATCTATAACAAATATATATTGTATAATCACGCATCGTTTAGATTTATTTAGGTTTTAATTTTTTAATTTTTTTTTCTCTTTAAACTCCAAACGTATGAGTATTTGCGCGTTTAGAATTCAACTTGATTTTCGTTTTTATTGTAACGGTTTTTATCAGAACGTTTTTATCATAACGGAGTTATGTTGTTTAAACTTGGAGTTTCGAAATGTTTATACAACCATTGTGTGTGTTTTTTTTTTTTTTTATTATTGTTGTACATATAATATAAATTTCAAAATTTCATAATTTTTGTCTAACGTTTAGTCTTACGTACAATTTTTGTTATTAACAAGATATATATATTTTATTAATCAATAACTTATTCGTTAAGCTTTGAACACATTTCTAACACAATGCCTTATACTAATACGATTACTTATACGATGCTATGATTGTGATTTTTATTTCGTTTTTAGTCGATCAACTAAGTGTTACAATATATGAATTACGATATAGGAATTACGATTAGAAAGATTTCGAAGGATATTAGGAATTACGATATAGGAAAAAAACGGAAGTTACACGAACAGCATACATTGTTCGGCATACATTTTAAGCATACATTTTTAAGCAGATATTTACAGGCAAATAAGCAATTAAAAAGACAGTAAAGTACAAAAATTTTTTTTTACTTTACTGTGCATTGGTCTACTTGAATGCTTCAAAAGCTACTTTCCGGATAATGATAATTGCCGATGTTGTTAAGTATGGACTAATATTTTTTCTGTTTCAAAGTACATTCCAGCCATACTACTTTCCCGCATAAAAGAAGAATATTTATTATTTTGAAAGTGTTTCATACGCATTTGATTTAATGCATATTCATAGTACAATGTTATTATAAGATGCTCCGTCACTGTATCACGGTTGTCTTCAAATTACTCAATATCACACTGAGAAGGATACGGAATAATACAATAATGACGAGACACCTACAAAGCATGAATTGTAGTTTGTGAGTTTCTTTTCTCATACTAGTTTTTAAACGAAATATTATTTAATAATTAAATTACTTGATAATTAAATATGAATACTTTTATACTATTTGTGAATATTATTTGTTAATAATTGTGAGTACTATCACTATATAATTGTTGTACTTTATCTCTATTTACTGACCATAGTTCCGGGCGTTTTTGGCAATACATAGTCGAAATGTAATTTGATAATATCGATCTACCTCATTATGCGATGAATGCATGTTCATCAATGTAAGACTGAATAGAACGAATCCAAATTCAAACGATGAATCGAAAAGCGGGATGTGTTAATAAATACGAAATATAATATAAGACATATAAATATATATCTATATATATATATAAACACATATAAAGAAAAATATATACTATAAAAATATATATATATATTATCTAAGTTATGAAAATTATATTGTATTATGACAAAAGTATATATTATATAGATTTAATCATACATATACAGCAATTTTACAATGCAGATAAATATATATATATATAGATTTAATAGTGCGAGGATTTAATAGTGCGAGGAACTAATGAGGTATTTATAGTGATATGCATTATCGTGCATATTTATAAATTTCACTTTTGATTATATTATTTGTCCACTGAAAACAATAGCTCGGCAAAATATAGTGATAAGTTTGTGTCACTATTTGATACACTGACTGTTTTATTCACACTGACGAGTCGCATTTCTGTGTTCATTGCTAATTCATAGCGACTAAGTGCAGTCAAAAGTGCGGAAACAAAATTGTCAATCGATTATTCCATATTATGACAGATCTCACACTTTATGTCTACATGATGTAACAGATAATTCTATTTTAAACGTTAGAAATATATTTTATATAGATTTTCTTGAAGAAAAGTTATCGGTTACACCGAAATACTCAAATGTGCCAAGGCAAGGTATTGGGGAAGTTTCAAATTAATTTTTTTCTATATTTATATTACTAAAAGTATATGAAAATGGTCCAGTTAATATTTTCAGCCTTAAGGCTTCTGTTTCTTTATGGCATCCATCTTGAATAATGATGTCTATAGCGAGAATCTTTTTCCTGCAGTATACGTTAAAATAATTTTTTTTGTACCGTCATTAATGTTTGAAAATAGATGGATAAAATATCTTTAAAAATACTATATATATAAAATAACTTTTTTATTATTCTGCATTAATAAATTTACACGTGTCTTGTATTTCCAGCGAAAATAATTACAAATTTACAGGTATTTGCTAATATTATCGAATGTGTGTGAGTAGTGACATAAGAAATGATTAATTTATTTCGGCGTATACTGCAAAACAATTGGCTTTATTCAATATAACTGTTATGAAGAATTACAAGCTTAAAGCTTCAGAAGCTTTATTGGAAAATAAATATATTTAAGTTTCTCAATTGTAAGTTCTCAACTGCATGCAGTATTTTCTACTATGTATTATATTTTTATTTTTAAAACACTAGAACTTTGCATTGTTTCTGACATTTTTTTAATTTCATGACTTTATTTCGAAGTTTTTAAATTTTGGATTCAAAAGGATAAAAGACTGTACATGGGAAATTGCATCAGAAAATAATTTTCTATTTGGATTTGAATGTACTGACAATAAATGCACTTAGGAAATCAATAAACTGATAAGATATTCAGTTGCTAAATCTTGTAAACTTATCACCAATGCCTTGCCTTGCCTCAAGAAAGCAGACCAAAGCTGTCTCAATTGTAACGTCTACCTCAATACAAGTCATTCCATAACAAATAAGTTCATTACTCAATACAGCTCAGAGATAGTTACGGAGTATGAAATAGTAAATGATAATGTAGTACCTATCTGTTATGTGATCGAATGTACTTTTTTTTGCCGTAAAGCCAATAAAATCAAAGATCTTAGAAGTTCAACTGCTGTTACTGATGTATTTCGTAAGGCAACTTAACTTCAGAAGGTGTATTGGTATCATTTAAACGAATGTATTACTTATCATTACACATTATCAGTACAGGATGCTTTTTTTTCAATTTTAGAGTGAGTACAACAGTATAACTGTAAAGAGTGCAACAATAATAAAAAAAAAAAATCTGTAATAGTATGTAAGCTACGTTGTTAAGACGAACCTAATGAACCTAACATTCTCTACTCATAGATGTAATATACAGACTTAATATTCTTTTTTAGAGTAGTAATTATACACTAATTAGATATCAATCAATGAAAGAATTGATTTGAAATTTGCACAATGTGCATTTTTTTTTAATAGCCCCGAAAGAATAGAAAGTGGTATATGGTCCGAATAAAAAGTGGTATATGGTCAGATGTTAATATTTTATATGATCATATAAAATTACATATATTATGAGATCTTTTCATAACTAATTATATATATATATTTATATCTGACCTTATATCTGTAATTATATCACTTTTTCTCGGGAGCTATTCATATATGTGGAAATATGAAAATATTATGCGAGATTCACGTCGCGAATGAAGAAAAAACACGATGAAAGAAAAAGTTATGCTTCGTAAGAGTAATAGAGTTTTTGATATGAAATATTAGCTAAATAAAAAAACTATTGTTTATATAAGTACACCATTCAAAAAAATATTTCGCTGATGTAGTTAGATTTCTAGATATCGCAACAAGAATGTATCGCTATTTTTCGTATCTGTGAAAACATTGTTTGTCACATATAGAATTTATAGCAGTAATGTTCTAGCAATAGCTTCTGAAAAATTTAGATATCATTGCTAAATGTTATTCATTGCATGATCTAACACGTGATTGATCTTATATAGATAGGCGCTTTAGAGAAACTTTCTTTTTAAAGTTCACAAACAATACAGATATATATTCTGTTTCTGTCATCTAAACTGATTAAGTAATTACATATGCAATATCACAACAGTTGCTAATCATTTATCTGTTTTAGTTAATTTTTTACACCTAGAAAATTTTAGCTATTATTGCAAAATTATTTTTTTGAGTGAAGAAAAATGTACAAAGTATTCGATTTTATCTAACTTTCTTGAAAAGAAGATGTTGATTATATACATATATCTCTCTCCAATTTTTTTTATCTCATGTTTAATTCTTTCAATTCAGTACTTTTCGAAATATCCGAAAATATTTCGAAATATTTTCGGATTTTGAAATATTTTCGAAATTTATAGATATTCGGACACTTTCTACTTATATACATATATAAAACGGTATACATTTAACAAGAGTATACGTATATATATTTCACGAATGTGATGTGTATGTGCAGGCGTATGAATAAATGCACATTTAAAAAATCGAATATATATATATATATAAAATTACACAGGTTGTCACTAAAATGCTCAAACAAACTTTAAGAATCAGTTTTTCGCATCAAAATAAAGAAAACAATATAAATAAATGTCGTTGAACGCTTTTGTTTAGAACAACGCAATATTTGCAATTGATCCATTGTTTGAAACAACCGCTAGTCACTCGATGTTTTAATATGCTTTAGATTTAAATAAATTGCTTAGCACAATTATAATCAATAGCATATAAAAGTGTTCTGTTAGTTGATCAATGCTTTGTCGCATTGCTTCCCGAAAATGAGATTGAATATTTGTGAACGTATGTTTACAAGAAATTCTTTCTTTACTTTAATATGAAGAATTGTCAAAATTTTTCTTAAGACTTTAGTATGACACCCTATTATATATATATATATAATTTTTATCAAAATATTGTCAAATGTCGGAAGAATCAGCTTTATATAGTCAGTATGTCTGTTATAATCAATGGCATATAAAAGTGCTCCTTAGTACGTTGACCACTGCCTTGTCGCACTGCGCCTCGAAAATTGTTGATTATTTCTGAACGTATGTACACAAGAAATTTGTTCTTCACTTTAATATGAAGAATTGTCAAAATTTTTCTTAAGATTAATGTGACACCCTATTATATATATATGTATATATATATATATATGTATATATATATATATATATATGTGTATATATATAGGGTGTCATACACACATATATGTATATATATAAAATTTTTATCAAAATATGGTCAAATGTCAAAAGAATCAGTTTTATATAGCCAGTATGTCTGTTTTAATACGTGTGTGTATGTCTATTAAATGCACTTTTAAGTACTAATGCATTTTTACGTGCACTCATATATGTGCATTTATAAGCCTTTCGGTACGTGCCTTTATTCGTTCGGTATCTTATGCGAGTTAAACATGTGTTATTTGAATAATATAAAAATCACTGCGTTGGTTTGTTTTACTGTTATGTTGTCCGTTATTATATTGAATAATAATCTGTAAACCTATAATATGTAAACCTTCTCGATTACCCAGCGCGACTCTTCTCGATTTTCCACGATTGTAAATAGACACGTAAGTGAATAATGTTGCCTTAACCGACTGGTGATGTATTATTTGTAAGACTGATTTTTTACTACGTTGAGTGCACGAACAACATAATGCAATGCACGTTTGTACATGCGGCTGCAACGCATAATGCGCATAGAAGTATATATATTTACATTTGCAATTACATTTACAAAGTTATTGTAAAAAAATTTTACAATAAATCTACATGCATATATAGTGTCGTTATGCATCCTCCGGCTTAACCAACTCTGCTGATTAAGTTTACTTTGATTAGGATACATGCGTACTATGTTAGATGATTCGCGACAGAATACCGATCATTTCGTACATACGTAAGTGTATATGCGCGTGTATGCATATACATTAATTAAAAGTGGATTAAGGGTTATATGTTATTTTGAGCTTTTAATTAGCAGCAACATAATTCGGTGACTTGTACACAGAATACTAAATCCTATGATTTCAATGAGTTACAATTGAAAGTGCAATAAAGAAGAAAGTAAAACGATTTAATTTTCCACGATATTTTTTTTGCATATGCATTTGTGCAACTGAACGATATAAATTCAGAGTTGACAAAGAGAATCTATCATATAAATTAAAGTAATGAATTATTGGACATGTATATTTATATTTTTCACGCATAAATTTCTTATACAATATTATTAAAAACACAATAAAATTTAAACAGAAAGTACTGCTGCTGTGATATAAAGAGTAATGATTTAAATAACGAGAAAAAAATAAAATTGCATTAATGCAATGATTGCAGTGATGTTTGACACAAACAAAACGATTAAAAACGATTAAAATGAATAAAATCATACAGACGTGCGCACGATTGATATAATTTTACAATAGCATGAATAAAAGGGAGGGAGAAAGAGGGAGAAATACAGAAGGAGGAAAAGCTCTAATCACTGCTTCCAAGTGTAGTAGACTCGGATAAGACCACGCACGTATGCGGGATCATTGGGATTTCGATAGTGATTCCAGAGGCACATAATGAAATAGACAAGGATAGAAAAGCGAAGAGAGAAAGAAAGGGGAGAGAGAGAGAGAGAGAAGCACAGTACGTTCCGCTAATAAGCCTCATTCCTCGATACGCGCGCGGGGAGAATAATTATGAGTTTGCGCAGTTCGCATCTCCGGACGGCGGCGGCGGCGGCGGCCAGGAGTTGGGGGTGGGTTGCAGGAGGGTGACCGAGGAGAAATAAAGCCCCGGAGCCCAGCCGGCGAACGCGGCCGCGCGCGGATGGTGAAATACGTTCCGCCCGCTCGTTCACCGACACGCACTACGTCGCGAGTGTCCTCCGCGTTTCATCGGAAAGGTGAGAGAATCCGGACGAGTGTACGATCGCGCGATATCCCGACGAGCGCGGGTCAAAGTCCCGCACGCAGCGTGCGGCACGCGTGCGTGTCCCTTCGGTCAGAACGCAAGGGGTGAAAAACAGTGGTGTCAACGACTCCCCGCCGTGGCCTCGTTTCATCTCCGAAGATATATACATCGCCCGCCTACAACCCTCGCGTGACGTTCTCACCTCGGATATGCCGAGGCATGCGCCGTAAAAATCCCGGGATTGATGTATCGCAGGGCGCAGGTACGCAGGCATGCAGCTTATGCGTACATTTGCATGCGTTCGCATGCGGTTTACGCGCGCGAGCGAGATTCGGCGAATCCGAAAATTAAAAATTTAAATAATTGGGAATTCTGCCGAAACATATTTGATCATGCAGCTGTATTACTTCCCAACCCCTTTTACGTTTCACAGAAGAAAACCAAAGCGAGTTATAAATAAATAAAAATTTTAATAAACAACAAGTGCTAAAAATAAATTCCAAAAGTAAATGAGAGGCAAAATTAAAGTATTTTTAGATGGTCGCTTGTTATCTTTCAGATCTGCATTTACTACCTGCTATGCATAGCAGCAGTGGACTTAACGTTTACCTCCGATGCGGAGATTACCACGACAGAAAATCGAGATTGCCCACCAGAATGCATTTGCCTTTCCCCGAAACAGGTAGAAAATTGTAGATAATATAATTACGCACTTGATTATAGAAGAGTATGTTCTTTGTATTAATTACAAACCATTTTTTACATGGCAAACGTTATTGTTTGCGAATAAAAAAAATTTATATTAATATTCATACACGGTTTTCGTTTCAGGTACTCTGCAATACAGGCGGCCTCGAGGACATACCGACGCAACAGCTGTCGGAGTCCGTGGAAGAGTTGTCACTGACGAAAAACAACTTTCCGTTGATAAAGGGCGACGCGTTCTCCGGTCTCAAGGTCCTGCGTAAGCTCACTCTGGACGGCAACAACATTACATCGATACGCCCGTTCGCGTTTCGCGGCCTACACCGACTGCGCGAATTGTCGATCCAGCACACGCCGCTGCCATGCATCGAGCAGTTTTCGTTCGCCACGCTGCAGAACATCTCGGTGCTGCTGCTGGCGAACAACAAGATCCGCTACGTCGAGGGCTACTCGTTCGCCGGCACGTCCAACGTGAACGTGATCCTGCTGAGCAACAATCCGTTGCTGACCATTCGCAGCCACGCGTTCGCCGGCCTCACGTATGTCAACAGCCTCATCTTTCCATCCGGGATCCGCACGATTGAGCAGGGCGCGTTCGACGGCCTCCAGCACGTCGGCCAGCTCAAGCTCAGCTACATGGATCTGTCCGGGCTGCAGGCCTACACCTTCCGCGGTCTGTCGAATGTACGCTCGCTCTACATCCAGGAGAGCGATCTCGGCATCGTGCAGAGGAATGCGTTCGCCGGCCTCACACACGTCGATCGTCTCAACGTACTCAACAACAAGGTGGACCTGATCGAGCGTCTATACCTGCGCCACGAAAACTACATTGAGATGTTGCGCTTCCACGGCAATCATGTGCTGGAGGCGCCGCGTCACGCCCGCGACGTTGTCCTCGAGGTGGACACGATCAGCGCGATCGATAATCACTTCCCGTGCGACTGCCAGGCGCACAACGTCCTCGAGAGTGACTTTGCGCGCGGCGACAGCGTCGAGTTTCAACGGCGAAACTATTGCATCTCGCCGTTCGAGTACAACGGCAAGCCTATGAACGTCGTTGACTTCGATCTCGTCGCACGATGTCACGACAACGTGATTCAGGACAACCTCGGCTCGGGCGTCGTCGAGGTATCTCGTCTCTCGGCGCTGTTGCTGATCGCCTTCTTGCTCTCGACAAACTTCTTCCGATGAGCATCTTGCCAGTCGATTCTCCAATGGTCGTCCCTTATAATTACTCGTAGCGATGGTAAGAGAACAGCCAGGTTTTTATGTAAACGCTTAATTGTACGGCTTATCGAGAGATCCCTCTTGCCTTCGTTTTCGTACAGCAAAGTCCTCGTAGTTCGGTAAAGCTGTCGAAGCAAAAAGGTATCTCGCACGAATTACGTTAAGTGTATCGTTATCACAGTAGAGTATTGTACTGATCTTCTATGACTTAATACGATCTCAAAAAGACGTACTATATCGCATTAGAATTATATTAAAGAGAATAGTTTCGCAATTCGAAAAAGTCAATTTGTAGAAAGCAAAGCTGCGAACTTCAACTAGATCTATAACATTAACAGACGTGCGCGCGCGCGAAATTTCATTCTATGGTATCAAAGTGACTGATAAAATAACAAACCGAGATAACGAAATTTATAATCTTTATTTCTTAAATTATAAATAAATTTATCCTTTTTGCATTAGAGAGACAATTTAATTATAAATTATTTTTCTTTTTAGTCCGCTCGGTTTATTATTGTCTTCTCAAAAATTCTTTCCAATTATAAATGAAACTTTTTTCAATTTTTATTATTTTTTTTACAAATAGATGATTTCCTTTTTCGTTTTTCACGGCTTATCAATATGTTCTAAAGATTCTTTTACATTATAAAAGAGACTCTCTTGATTTTTTATTATTTTTCCCCCTACACAAACACATACATGTGAACTATTCTCGGAAACTATTCTAAACAAAAAGATCCATTAACTTTCATCTTTTATTTAGTTTCGATATTCTGCAGTAAAAAATAATCTTATTTGAAAGGAAATTAAATAATCGGAAAAAATTTTGTTCTGAAAAAGAAAAGATCTATTAACTTTTTTTTTTATTTAGTTTCGATATTCTGTAGTGAAAAATAATCTCGCTTGAAGAGAAAATCGGAAAAGATATTGCTGAGATATTGAGAGGAGATGTAAATCCAAGAAAAAAGGGAAACAGCAATATGTTATTGCCTCCGTTTGTTCACAATGTTGCTTTCGTCAATATTAGATTGAGCATACGATCGTTCGTAGATAACGAGAGATTTATTTACGCGAAAAATTAATTGTCATGGCTGTAGGATGAAGAAAATGCGGCTAATCACTAATGCCGAACGGATACATATCCTTTCGCACATATAAAAACGGCTCAAATACTTATCGTGATCTTATATATCGAGAATATTGTTGAGTGTTTTTTTATTTTCACGATCATAGAATGTTTAGGGACAAAAAGTATAAGCCTATTGTATATCCATCTATCATATATCCCAAGTTTTGCGACGATAATAAGTGTTACCATTATTTAGAACACTATTATATTGTTATACATCATTTAGTTAATCGATTCTTTACTTCGGCATAAATCAATACTTTTGTACAATGACGCATTTGACGCCGAATGTGGTCTTCTGTCTTGCATCAGCCATATCCTGCGCGGCCTTTTTCGTCGGAAAGATATGTTTGAGGTCTAAGGTGAATTGAAATTCGGGAAAGCATATTTAGCGTTTAATGCGTAATGATGATGCGGGTCTATGTACACGTGTATACGTTAGCACTCTTCTCACGATCAATCGAAGCTAGTCTGCCGCGAATTCATAATCGTTCGATCGCGGATATGTAATGTTATGAGGTAGTATGTTTAATATACGAGCTTTAACTGGCCGGCATACTGGACCAGCACTGTCGCATCCACTTAAGGCTTATTTGAAGCTTCGAAATCTTGAGTGGGAGCGCCGTAAATGACATGTTCCCAGGGGCAGAGAAACGGAAAGAAAGCGACGATTTCAAATTTGTTGAGCGAAAAGCTGACACGACTTCATTTGACTTCTTTTTATAGCAGCCATTAAAGTAATTGTTGAAATTTTGCGTTATATTTTTACATAAAAATACGATATTCGAAAGCTAATAAATGGAAACAGTTTTATTCCAGACTAAATTTTTACTTCCAATATTTTCCTAAGAATCCGAGCTATGCCCCTGTGCGTTCACAGCTGCTATCCGATTCCACTAGTAAAATTAAGAAATTATTCAAATAATCCGGAAATGATGAAAGTATTTAGCTATTAAGTAAACATGTTTAATTGCATTGGTGCATAAGATCATCAAAGAGCGCTCGACGCTTGAATTTATCTTTAAAATTTATCTCGACACTCGACAGAATTAGAATTCCTGCGAAAATATGGTTTAAAAGCAATTGGCAAAGATGTGAAATCTGTGATTGTAAAATCTGTTTTTTATCTGTAAAATTAAATATTTATTTTAAGTTAATTTTGAAATTATTTTTTTATTAAATAGATTAAGGAAAGTAAATGTTTATTTTTTATATAGAAAGAAATGTTTCAATTTTTATATACTTGATTGTTTGCTTGATTGTGCACTTAAATAATTGAATTTGCATATTCTTGATTGTCCTAGTTTCAGGCTCTGTTTACCTTTCTTCATTTATTATTTATAGAAATGTAACACATTAGAGGTGGAAATGGATTTTATCCACTGGACAACAGTGTATTATGCTCAACACTTTAGATGAATAACTATTGACCTTATAAATCTTCTTTTCTAAGTTATCCAGGTGCGTATAAGAATTAATCGTAATAATCGAACAATAAAGTGAAAGGTACTCATTAGGGTTGCTTCAACAGGGGAGCCTTAATATGGAATTCTGCATACCATTAATATCGCTGCCCTGTCAATCTTATTGGCATTATCTAAGAAATTGCTTATCATCCAACATTTAGAAATCGTGAAAATTTGCTTTCATTAAAACTAGAATTATTAATTAGACAAAGCAACTGACTTCTAAAGTCACGCTCTCAAGTTAAATTTGATACTGTGAACAATTGTGCGTACAATTTGTATAGAAACGTGTTCTGTGCCAATATTTTATATTTACTTGATGTCATAAGTCACGTAAATATTTGAAAATACGGAAAAGAGAAAGAAAGTATTGATTACGAGCAACTTTCAATAATATATGCCACAGAACATTTTGTTCTTCTCATAATCGAGTTTGTGAAAAATACTGCTTTATAGATAAAAATACATTGGCGTCCAAAGTGTATACGTGCATATATATATATATATATGCACATGTATGTATATGGTATATATACATATATACCATGGGCTGAATCAGAATTATATGAAGTAATGCTACATATGCTTACAACTAAAAAAAAAACCTATATAAAGCGTGTTTCGCTGCCACTCATAACGTGAGATTTGCTTGGCCTTCGGTCAGCATAATAACCGAGGACCAACCTAGCTTATATTTTTTACCAATGTTTAAAATAGCGTTTAATAGACACGATTATTGAAATCTGTAATCTTTCATTGTAGTTAAAATGTCCTGTCATATAATAAATGGAATAAAACATTAACATACATCATAGTCCTGTATAATTTTCGTATATATTGTCAATATATTATTATTGTGCGAATATGATACATGTGTGTATTACGTATCTAAAATTGATGGAACTCGTGGAGAGTAATGTTTAAATAATTTAACATGTATTTTTTTTTGACAATATTCATTAATTAACAATATACTCTTTACAGTAAATATTACTTAATGACAAGAGTACATACTTGATTCTAGGTTCACTTCACTCTAGCGTGTTTAGGGCGCTTAATGAATCGGAACGGTTGGTGGATTCGGAATAGGATCGAACTCACCAACACTTTCCATATATTGAACGTCTTTACGGAACGGCTTCAACTCCCAGTGCATTCGTGATTCCATCGTTGTTGGTACGATACCAAGATCTTCCAGAGTTGGTAGGTCTTTCAACACTTTGTCAGATATCGATTCCTGTGTAATGTCAAGTTGAATAGTATTTCACTCGATATTTACATCGTATTTCATTAAATTACATTCATTTTGTAGACGTAATAAAATTAAAACATACTCTTTCCAAATGTTCCCACTGTAAATTTCCTAGTGGATACGCGGTACTTAGGAACTCATTCAAAGAAACCTTCAGTTTGAATAACGGAGCGTATTTCAGGTCTAGTCTCATGTAACCGTAGCCTATTGGGTTGCGTATTCGTATCTTATGGAACCAGTCGAGTAAATCAGACAGTTTATAACGTTTCGGCCTGTACAAATGTAACATTTTGTAAAAGCAATCTGCGATTAATGGTAAGATTATATAACAAGTGTATTGTATTTATTTATACCCGACAAACTGGTAAGTCTTTCCAGCGGTACTCCTAGGATCTTTTGCAATAGCTGTAATACCTCCAGCGACATCGTACACAGCTACCGGCTGCTTTTCTGTACGTTCGCCCTTTTCCCATACTGGTACAGTTCTGTAAAGAAATATATTCAATTACCGTCAATTAATAACTTCTTGACAATTATAACTTGAAATATGAATGTTGGAAAATTTTTTTGCACATTGATTACCTGAAATGATGTCTTATTATACTAGAGTAGACACGTAAAAATCTGTCCTCCTGACCCCATATATCTGACGGCCGAATAATCACAGCTTCTGGAAATTCTTGTCGCACTGCATGTTCGCCCTCCCATTTAGACTGGAGGAACCGAGAACCACCGTCCAACACATGTGACTTAACAAAAATTATGAAAAGAGAATTATATATATCGTATAAACTCTTTTTTATATATTTTATAGAATAAAAACATGACTTCATTTACCTCTATCTCATCACCCACATTTAAGGCTGATATATGGATGAAGTGTTCAACATTAGCTTCTTTGCACAATCTAGCCAGTCTTCCGGCTCCCTCAACGTGTGTCTCGCGGAAAGAGAAGTTTTTAGTTTCCCAATCACATCCAATCAGATTAATAACAACATTGGAGTACTTGATACACTTTCTTATCGATTCCTCATCGCGTAAGTGAAATGGATGAAACAAAACTTGTCCAAGATCCCCACAGAGTTTCAGTGGCAAACAGCTATACATATCACCTCTGTACGGCAGTATCAACTGCAAATTAAAATTAACAATTGGTAACAAAAATAATTGAATTCTATACATTACAAGGTACTTGTTACAACAGTATAAGAACTGTCACTGTTGTCATTTTTCATTATTTGATTGACATCATACCTGGGTGCCAATCTTGCCAAGACGATTGCATACATAACGCCCAAGAAATCCAGTTGCACCAAACACTGTACACACCATTCCATTGAAGGAACTACGGCCACCTGTACCTCTCTTTAAAGAAGCAGTAGTCGGACTTTTGATGACGTGTGGTTCCGACGAGTAATGATTCGTCTGCACCGCTGCGACCGCAATGCATGTTGTCTGTCTTTCTAAAATAAATACAATAAATGCAAACTTGTTAGTTATATAATTGAAAACAATTCATGTCATATACTAATATATAAGTACAAAAAATTGTATACAATTTTGTAAAACGTTTACATAATTGGCTCTCCAAGAAGAAGTTAAATTGTTATTAAAAAATGTAAATAAATGACAATCTTACTTGCTGCCTGCAGGCTGTACCTTGGAATCAAGGCGGCCATCTTTGTCGGCCTTCCATATGGAAGTCAAACGTAAAATATTAGTTTTTTTATTTAGGAGTAAAGAGTACAGATGACGCCGGGTGCTAACTCATATCGTCTTAAGGTATAAGCATAATACATAGTGATCGATCGATGATAAACTTAAATGTCAAAATTACATGGAGTTATGCCGCAAGAGGTCGCAAGATATTAAAAAAATGGTACAACGGTACAACTCTATGTGCGAAAAATATTCCTAGATCATTCCTGGATGCCGGTATATATGAATGGTTAGTTTATTTACACACATATGCTTTTTGTGTTTAGTATATATGTATAATTTATGTTAATAATATTTATGTTAATAAAGGGACGCAACAATGGCTAAGAATGCTGTATATAATTACATGAAGATGCAGAATAGACCTTACAGTGTAAACGATGTGGTCACAAATTTGCACAATGAATATGGTAAAGCTGTGGTTCAAAAGACTATGGATCAATTGGTGAAGGATAACAAGCTGTTCGAAAAGGTAAAGCAAAATTGGCAGGGATAAAGTTGAAAATTATATTATTAAATCTTATTTTGTTCTCAGATTTATGGCAAACAGAAGATATACTGTGTTGTTCAGGATGCAACATACGACACTGATGAGTTAATGAGAATTGATAAAGAATTACAAACTCATGCTAATGAAGTTGAGAATAGATATCAAGAAGTTACAAGAGAGGTGAAAGAACAAGAGACTCTTTTAGCCTCTTTGAAGTCAAGTTTATCATTAGAGGATGCGCAAGAGGAAAAGAACATTTTACAGCAAAGTATAAAGCAATTAACACATAAACTAGATAATTTAATGGAAACAAATGGTACTGAGGACTTACACGAGTCTAAACGAAAGGCTGAACAGGATTTGGATGAATATACTCGAGAATACTTAAAAGGAAGAGAATGTGCACTGAGATAATAGACTGTATTTTGGAAAATTATCCTCTTAGCAAGGATGAATTATATGAAGAAGTAGGTATAGATTCAGCCATTGTAAAATAAATCAAAGAGTTTTTAATTTCTTTGATCTTTTGTATTTTTATTATTATAGTCTTTTGTGATTTGTTACATAAAATTGTGTTTATAATGAACAAAGTAAGTTTTGTGTTAAAATGATTAATATTTTATATATAAGTTTGTGTTAAATATTCATTCATATATATTTAAAAAGAAATCTTATTGGAGTTCATGGTTTATTATGCAAAGATTGCATATTAAAATGGATATACTGAATCAAATACAGAATTATTTTAAGTTGTTCAATAAGAAACGCATATTTCAATATTCTTTAAAGATTACAACAGATAAATTTTTATTTTGTGCGTTTATATTTTTTTTTTATTTTTACAAGTATGCATATCATATAACACATCCCAGAATTATCACACATTTATAATGAAATGGATGTTAAGCTTCAAGACAAAGAATATCAGAATTGAAGACAACTTATTGATATCAAAGATTAAAAGATTTTCACGCTTTAACTTTTAAAAACATAAAAGTATTGAAATCTCTGATTCTAAATGATGTCTTTAATTCTGAGACTTCAACTCAGCAAAAATATAATTTGTGTTTTAATTAAGAAAATATCTAATGCAAAATAATGTAAATAATTTGATTAAAATATAATAAAATTGTCCAAAAAAGTAATAATTTGTCTAATAATGCATGACAATGCAAAAAATAAACATAATAATTTTTAGATCTTTTGTATGTAGTAAAATTTACAGTAATCAATATTGTTACGCGAATTACATGTGAATACAAGTATATCGCATAACTTTTCTGTTTTATTTACATGCATAAACCACTATATACAAAGAATTGAAAAATTTCACAAACAGAATATGATATATTCTTAAAAGAATATATCCTTAAAATTAACTTTATTCGCATATTTACATGATATTCCATTAAAGTAGCAGTAATATAGAATGCAATGAGACGTATATCAGCGTATTTGGTCCTGTAACATAAAAATTGGAATATTTATTTTATAAACAAATAACTATTTGCTACAAACTTATTTTTTTTCTTAGAAAATAGCGTCGTGTAAAAAATCGAATGGTATACTTATAATTTAATTTTGTAAGAAAAGTACAAGCAAAAAAAAAATTGTTTTTATATTGATTAAATGTACAATTTAAATGAATTATCAAAAATATGTTTGCGCTTCTTTTGGATTAATGTAATTTCAATCATTTCAACATTTACCTCAACAATATTTCTATTTATTTTCATGAAAACAGTTCCTCCATTTTTTCAACTATTTTTTCCACCCATGGCATTTGCTTTATCGTTTGAAGTTTGAATTTCTTGGGTGATTGTTTCTTCTTTTGTTCCTTAGCGGGTATTCCTTCTAATACACATCTACCGTTCAAACAGTACTAAAAAAGTACGGAATAATAAGTATATAATTGCTATAATTAATAATAATTACATTTATAATTTATTTGTAATTAATAGATAGTAATAATTATTTTATTAATAACAACTTTTATAATTAAAAGTAAGAAAACAATAGCTCACCAAACCGTCACCGCAAGGTGAGCCTTCCGCTGCAGGAGCTGATGCTGTGCAATCATCAAAATTGGGATACTGACACTCCAAATAAGTGCAAACCGTAGCATCTCTCTGTGAAGAAAAAATGACACATATTGTACACTTTCTCCAAACTTTCCTAACGTGAAATTGATTCCAAAAAAATTATACTAGTTTTATCTCAAAAAACAATTTACTCGAAAGGAGTACACAAAAATAATGAAGTTTTCGCATTTTCGTTTTTTATTAATGTTTTTAATAAGTTGAGTAAAATTATTGTTAAAATAATATAGAACTTACATTACACGCCTTTGTTCCCATGACGTTCTTGCATTGTTCGTCTAAAGACAACAGCTTTCCGGGCAGAATACGCGGCACCTGTTCTCCATCTTTGGGCTCGTTGTAAAGACACTTTGCTCGAGGTTCGCTGAAATAATTCTTGAATTAACATTTCATTTTATCGTAAGGGAAAAACGTGTAGAATAATATAAACTTTTCTGGTGTTTTTAATGGTCGCAGATCGTACGATACGATAAATCATACTTGAGGAACTTGTAGAACGCGTTTATGCTGCATTTGGACCATTTGAATCCGTTCTCACCCAACGCAAGCCCAGTGGTCATGATGTAGCCACCGGAAGGCGGACACTCGGCAGCGGTGTTTGGATTGCCGTCGTGACGAGCTCCTATCCTATAATCGATGGAAATGTTCTTTCACGATCCAACGGGATTCAATTGATTTACTAAAATTTATTAACTTATTAATAGTCTTTCGATTAACAGTACGGGAATTATTTTGGCGCGATGTAATTTTTTTCTAGAACTAAAATGCGTTAATAACACTACAGTATATTTTTGCTGTATGCCGTATTTTTCTAAAACTTTAATGTAAGAAATAGAATTACGAAAAAAAATTATATAGGTTTCTTACAAATGCCCGATTTCGTGAGCTGTAGGAATAATGCCGCCGAATCCAGCATTATCTTCGACGATTCCTACGGCTTCGGATAACTGCTTCGTCGCGTTTCTGTCGCACGCACCAGCTACGTATGCGTAACCTGTAATGATAAATATAAATTAAATTAAAATGTAACTATAAAATGTGTAATTAAAATATGTATATGCACAGTGTTATGTTAGCAATCTTACCCAAAGTTGGTGAGTCACAAAAGTCGTCGGTGAGCATATTGCACATATCTAGCCTGAAATGACAGATTGTATTATTTGTTTTTTTAGTTAAACATGAAAGTCAATTAATCGGATACGAAGATTGCGGTACTAACTGTGTCATTGCGATCGCCATATCATAAAAGTCTGGTGGAAATCTGGTTTCGCGATAGAAATAATTTGCCATTCCGCGCAGAGCGAGATCCGAATCTACTGTGCTCCGCTTGGGTTTATACTCAAAGATACTTTTTTCCAAATACGGAGTCGCGTTTTCATCCTGATATCAAAAGTATCGTGTTAAAATATAACTCTGCTACTCTATCAAAAAATATAATACATAAAATATGTATGAAATATGCGTGTAAAATTCAATAATTTAACGCAAAATGACGAAAATATGAGGATAACGCGAATGAAAATTTGATGCTGCTATATTTTGACTGTTAAAACATACCGTGGCTATAATTAATCCTGCGATGGATAATCGAATTCTAGGCGCGGTCAGCGAGCGGAATCTTAAATCAACTCCATTCCAATACGAGACAAGGTACGTCACGGCTTGTTGTAAGTCTTCGCCAAGTAATCTGCAACAAAGAAATACATTTTTTTACAATATATAATTCTTTGCGATTTATAATTATTTATCATTTTTGTTAAATATTTTTATACTTACTTGAATTCCCTGTAGTCGAGTACTACTAACATCTCTGGATAAATGACATCCGGAGCATTACGCTTTGCTCTGTGGGTCTCAGGATTTGTAATTTCTGAAAAGTCAAGATGTGTCACTTGTAAACATGTTCTTGAATTAATAAATTTAGAAAAAAATGTATATTACTAAAATTCTTACAAATAGATATTTAAATAATTTATTACAGTATCTAAATGCTTACTGAAATCATTGTACTGGCTCGACGGAGGTATTTTATATACTACGTGATGATGAGTGCTAGCATATTCATCATCACTTGTCACATTTTTGGTGTGATGCGGCTCGAAAAGCTTATGTCCTCCATAAACGACTTTGTCCAAAACTCGTTGCGGTAAAGATTTTATGACATATGAATTTTTAAGTACTCCGTCCTGCAACGTTTCATTTGCAGAATTAAATACATGAGATTTGAAACATAGTTTTATGTAAAAAATTTTTATTTTAAATTGTATATAAAAATATATATTTAATAACGTTTTCACAATCGATACTTTGAAACTAAAATTCTTACCAAATGTACTTTTCCATTAGGAGTAGGAGTTAGTAAAACTGAGCTGGAGGTGCTTACATCTTGAAGCGTAACTCCTAAAGATTTCATAGCCTGTAAGAAAAGTGTTTCATAAACAAATTTCTCTCATATTTATCAAAATAAATTTATAAAGGTTTGATTGTTTGTTTTTGTACATTGAACATACCCCAGGTACTTGTTTATATAATAATCCTTCGGGTGATTCCGTATCGGAACTGACGGTCCATACAGGCGTTCTCGTAGTAGCGAGACTACCTTCTGTAGGATTCAAGTATATATTCATGTCCTCCTCGAACGCTTTCAGTTTTATTTCCGATGTGTCATCTTTGGAATCTGTCTGCTTCTTCAAACGATGCAGTACTGGCACTACTTCGTACTCGGGTACTAAAAATTAGTGAAATTAACATTAGGAATTAGCAAAAATAAAAAGTAGAGTACCGCTATTATTCTACAATTGTATTATATTATAATATTATTAATTTTAATATCGGAGAATTAATGGAAAATATGATTGTATTTCAAAAATATTGTGAAATATGAAAAGCTATTTTTTAAATAAAAATTCTGCAACTTACCAAGATCATGCGGAGTATGAAAAACTGTCTTTACTTCGGCCGGCGTCATATATTCGTGAAGCTAAAAACATGTTCTTTAATTTCTAGCTTTTATACAAATTAATCAATAATAGAAACGAGCGTTACTGTACAAATATTACCTGCTTGCATTGTATAAGTGGCGTTCCCGCGAGATATAAGAGAAATACTGTAAGAAACATTTTTCAACTGTTGAATGAAATAAATTTGAATAAAAGTACAATCGATCGTGTATATCGATTTAAAAGATTATGGATCGCAAACTGCGATCTCTCTCACAGTAATAGCGCCGTATTTCAGCGTTTATGAATATCTACAACTAGCTGAGATCTTTTTGCGAAAGAGCTCGTAGCTCGTATGACGAAAAGCGACTATTTCACGCTCTAATATAAATTAACCGGCCGATGTTTCACTTGTTCGTGATTATACAGCAAGACACGTGTCATACAAGGCATGATTTGCGATGTAAAAAACACAAGTACGATAATCTAGAATTGTACAAAATCATAATTCTTTTATGACAGATAAAGTATAGGTGCACGCTTGTCAATTACACGTCCTGACGAGGATCAAATTGGACAGTTGTTCACCTTATTTTTAAATTACATAAAATAGTAAATCTTTAGTAATTGAAACACAATATAAAACAACATCTTCATAGAAATTTAATCGCTCAAAAGGATAAAAACTTTAAAGAGTGAATAAGGTACTTACGATGTTAATCTCTTATTGCAAGCACTTTTTTGTAAGAACATTAATCTTTTATTCTTCTTTGTAAGAAACTATTAATTATAAATTTTAATTAACGTAATCGCGATATGTAATCGGTATAATTTTTCAAAAAAGAAAGAACGCAATTGCATGAAGACAGTGCGCACAACATCGAACGTTAATCTACGTTTGATTAATGAATGTGCGCTTATCCGAAACAATAGTTCAGATACACATAAATAATTATGATTTTTCTTGAAGGACATCGGTTCATACCTTTATAAATTCCTTCAGCCTCGATACGGCAGACTAATGAATGCGTTCAAACTGCATTTTTGTGTCCACTCGCTGTCAAGCAAATCGTTCATCATGTGCCGAACGAATGTATTCTGCGCTTGTATGTATAGAATTTCTCGTGTCGATTGCATACGCAAGAACCAACCAACAAATAGTCAAAATACAAATAAATAAAAATGTCACATTGCTGTACATGCAACATGTAATTGTGTATACATCACGTTGGTTTCTGTCAGCATCAGAAAAATTTTTCATGTCTCGAGTCGAAAATAAATTTTGTTTGGAAATCTGACGTTCTACTGAAAGTTCTGTATAAGCCTCGCAAGAGTTCTAACGATTATTCTGATTTTATAGTTTTTTGCGATTTGTTACATAAATTTGTGTTTATAATAATAAAAATAAGTTTGGTGTTAGAGTAATTAATATTATATATATTAGTTTGTGTTCAATATTCATTCATATATATTAAAAAAAAAGTTATTGGAAGCCATAGTTTATTATGCAAAGATTGCATATTCAAATGGATATGCTGAATCAAATAGAGAATTATTTTAAGTTGTTAAATAACACGTTGTTAAATAACGCATATTTCAATATTGTTTAAAGATTACAACACATAAATTTTTATTTTGTTAATATTTTTTTATTTTTACAAGTATGCATATCATATAATACATCCCAGAATTATCACATATTTATAATGAAATGGATATTAAGATTCAAGACAACGAATATCAGGATTCAAGACACAATGTATTGATATCAAAGATTAAAAGATTTTCACGCTTTAATTTTTAAAAACATAAAAGTATTAAAATCTTTGATTCTAAATGATATCTTCAACCCAATAAAAATTTAATTTGTGATATAAGTAAGGAGATATCTAATGCAAAATAATGTAAATAATTTGATTAAAATATAATAAAATTGTTCAAAACGTAATAATTTGTCTAATAATGCATGACAATGCAAACAATAAACATAATAATTTTCAGATCTTTTGCATGTAGTAAAATTTAGAGTATTCAATATTGTTATACGAATTACATATCAATACAAATATATCGCATAACTTTTTTGTTTTATCTACATGCGTAAACCACTATATACAAAGAATTCATAAATTTTACAAACAAAATATGATATATTCTTAAAAGAATATATCCTTAAAATTAACTTTATTCGCGTATTTACATGATATTTCATTAAAGTAGCAGTAACATAGAATGCAACGATACGTATGTCAGTGTATTTGGTGTCCTGTAACATAAAAATTGGAATATTTATTTTATAAACAAATGACTATTTGCTAAAACCTTATTCTTTTGTTAGAAAATGGCGTCGTGGAAAAGATTGAAAAGTATACTTATAATTTAATTTTGTAAGAGAAGTACAAGCAAAGGAAAATCGTTTTTGAATTGATTAAATGTACAAATAATTTAAATAAATTACCAAAATATCCGCGCTCCTTTTGGATTAATATAATTTCAATCAATTCAACAATTACCTCAACAACATTTGTATTTATTTTCACGAAAAGAGTTTCTTCAGTTTTTGAAGCATTTTTTCCACCCATGGAATTTTCTTTATCTTTTGAAGGTTGAACTTCGGAAGGAATTTCTTGAGTATGTCTTTCTTCTTTTGTTCCTTAGTGGGTATTCCTTCTAATACACACCTACCGTTCAAACAGTACTAAAAAAGTATGGAATAATAAGTATATAATTGCTGTAATTAATAATAATTACATTTATAATTTATTTCTAATTAATAGATAGTAATAATTATTTAATTAACAACTTTTATAATAAAAGTAAAAAACAATATAGCTCACCAAACCGTCACCGCAAGATGAGCCTTCCGCTGCTGGAGCTGATGCCCTGCAAAAACCTTTAAAATCGGGATATTCACACTCCAAGCGAGTGCAAACCGTAGCATCTTTCTATGAAGAAAAAACGACACATATTGTATATTTTCCTAACGTGAAGTTGAATTCAAGAAAATTATACTAGTTTTATCTCAAAGAACAATTTACTTGAAAAAAATTATACACAAATGATAAAGTTTTCGAATTTTCGTTTTTTATTAACGTTTTTAATAAATTGAGTAAAATTATTTTTAAAATAATATAGAACTTACATTACACGCCGGTGTTCCGAAGATGTTCTTGCACTGTTCGTCTAAAGACAACATCTTTCCGGGCAGAACACGGGGTACCTGTTCGCCATATGTAGGCTCGTTATAAAGACACTTTGCTCGAGGCTCGCTGAAATAATTCATGAATTAACATTTTATTTTATCATAAGGAAAAAAGTGTAGAATAACATAAACTTTTCTGGTGCTTTTAATGGTCGCAGATCATACGATACGATAAATCGTACTTGATAAACTTGTAGAACGCGTTTATGCTACATGTGGACCATTCGAATCCGTTCTCACTCAACATAAGTCCACCGGTCATGATGAAGCCATCGGTAGCCGGACAGTCGCCAGCGCCGTTTGGATTGCCGTCGTGACGAGCTCCTATCCTGTAATCGATGGAAATGTTCTTTCACGATCCAACGGGATTCAATTGATTTACTAAAATTTATTAACTTATTAATTGTCTTTTGATTAATAGTACGGGAATTATTTTGGCGCGACGTAAATTTTTTTCTAGAACTAAAATGCGTTCATAACACTACAGTATACTTTTGCTGTATGTCACATTTTTTTAAAGCTCTAATGTAAGAAATGGAATTATGAAAAAAAATTATGTAGGTTTCTTACAAATGCCCGATTTCGTGAGCTGTCGGAATGATGCCACCGAATCCACCATTATCTTCGACGATTCCTACGGCTTCGGATGACTGTTTCGTCGCGTTTCTGTCGCATGCACCAGCTACGTATGCGTAACCTGTAATGATAAATTTAAATTAAATTAAAATGTAACTATAAAATGCATAATTAAAATCTGTATATACACAGTGTTATGTTAGCAATCTTACCCAAAGTTGATACGTCACAAAAGTCGTCGGTGAGCATATTGCACATATCTAGCCTGAAATGACAGATCGTATTATTTTTTTTTAGTTAAACATGAAAGTCGATTAAGTGGATACGAAGATTGCGGTACTTACTGTGTCATTGCGATCGCCATATCATAAAAGTCTGGTGGAAATCTGGTTTCGCGATAGAAATAATCTGCCATTCCGCGCAGAGCGAGATCTGCATCTACCATGGTCTGATCGTACTCAGAATCAAATATACTTTTTTCCAAATATGGAGTCGCGTTTTCATCCTGATATCAAAAGTATCGTGTTAAAATATAAGTCTGCTACTCTATCGAAAAATATAATACATACAATATGTATGAAGTATTCGTGTAAAATTCAATAATTTAACGCAAAATGACGAAAATATGAGGATAACGCGAATGAAAATTTGATGCTGCTATATTTTGACTGTTAAAACATACCGTGGCTATAATTATTCCTGCGATAGAGAACCGAATTTTAGGCGTGGTCAGCAAGCGGTACCTCAAATCAACTCCATTCCAAAACGAGACGAGATACCTCAAAGTTTGCTGTATATCTTCGCCAAGTAATCTGCAACAAAGAGATACATTTTTTTACAATATATAATTCTTTCCAATTTATAATTATTTATAAATTTTGTTGAATATTTTTATACTTACAAGAATTCCCTGTAGTCGAGTACTACTAACATCTCTGGATAAATGACGTCCGGAGCACTACGCTTTGCTCTGTGAGTCTCAGGATTTGTAATTTCTAAAAAGTCAAGATGTATTACTTATAAACATATTCTTGAACTAATAAATTTAGAAAAAAATGTATATTACTAAAATTCTTACAGATAGATTTTTAAATAATTTATTTTAATATCTAAATTCTTACTGAAATCATTGTATTGACTCGACGGAGGTATTTTATATACTACATGATGATGAGTGTAAGCATATTCATCATCACTTGTCACATTTTTGGTGTAATGCGGCTCAAAAAGTTTCCGTCCTCCGTAAACGACTCTATCCAAAACTCGTTTCGGTAAAGATTTTATGACGTATGAATTTTTAAGCACTCCGTCCTGCAACGTTTTATTTGCAAAATTAAATACATGAAATTTGAAATTTAGTTTTATGTAAAAAATTTTTATTTTAAATTGTATATAAAAATATATATTTAATAACGATTTCACGATCGATACTTTAAAACTAAAATTCTTACCAAATGTACTTTTCCATTAGGAGTAGGAGTTAGTAAAACTGAGCTGGAGGTGCTTACATCTTGAAGCGTAACTCCTAAAGATTTCATAGCCTGTAAGAAAAGTGTTTCATAAACAAATTTCTCTCATATTTATCAAAATAAATTTATAAAGGTTTGGTTGTTTGTTTTTGTACATTAAACATACCCCAGGTACTTGCTTATATAATAATCCTTCGGGTGATTCCAAATCGGAACTGACAGTCCATACAGGTGTTTCCTTACTAGCGAGAATACCTTCTGTAGGATTCAAGTATAGATTGATATCCTCCTTAAACGCTTTGAATTTTATTTCCGATGCGTCATCTTCGGAATCTGTCTGTTTCTTCGAACGATGCAGTACTGGTACTACTTCGTACTCGGGTACTAAATATTAGTAAAATTAACATTAGGAATTAGCGAAAATAAAAAGTAGAGTACCGTTATTATTCTACAATTACGTTATATTATAATATTATTAATTTTAATATCGAAGAATTAAAAATGAAAATTATGATTTATTCCAGAAATATTGCAAAATACGAAAAGCTATTTTTTAAATAAAAATTCTGCAACTTACCAAGATGATGCGGTGTATGAAAAACTGCACTTACTTCGGCCGGCGTCATATATTCGTGAAGCTAAAAATACGTTCTTTAATTTCTAGCTTTTATACAAATTAATCAATAATAGAAACAAGCGTTACTGTACAAATATTACCTGCTCGCATTGTATAAATGGTGTTCCAGCGAGATATAAGAGAAATACCGTAAGAAACATTTTTCAACTGTTGAATGAAATAAATTTGAATAAAAGTACAATCGATCATGTATACCGATTCAAAAGATTATGGATCGCAAACTGCGATCTCTCTCACAGTAACAGCGCAGTATTTTGACGTTTATGAATATCTACGACTGGCTGAGACCTTTTTGCGAGAGAGCTTGTAGCCCGTATGCGAGAAGGGACTATTTCACGCTCCAATTTAAATTAACCGGCCAATGTTTGACTTACTCGTGATTATACTGCGAGACACTTGTACGTGTCATGCAAGGTATGATTTGCGAGGAAAAAAAGCAAGCACGATAATCAAGAATTATACAAATTAATAATTCTTGTATGACAGATAAAATACAGGTGTGATGCGCGCTCGTCAATTACACGTCCTGACAAGGATCAAATTGGACAGTTGTTATTTTTAAATTACATTAAATAGTAAATATTGAGTAATTAAAATACAATATAAAACAACATCTTCATAGAAGTTTAATCGTTCAAAGGGATAAAAACTTTCAAGAGTGAATAAGATACTTACTTAAGATGTTAATCTCTTATTGGAAACACTTTTTTGTAAGAATATTAATCTTTTATTCTTATTTGTAAGAAGCTATTAATTATGAATTATAATTAACGTAAATTTGCGATGAATTATAAATATTATAATCGGCATAATTTTCCAACAAAGAAAGAACGCAATTGGGTTAAGACACTGCACGCAATATCGAACGTTAATCTACGTTTGATTGATGAATGTGCGCTTGTTCGAAACAAGAGGTCTGATACACATAAATAATTACGATTTTTCTTGAAGGACATCGATTCACCTTTAAATTCAAATTCCTCCAGTCTCGATACGGCCGGCTAATGATGTTCAAACCGCATTTTTGTGTCTGCTCGTTGTCAAACAAATCG